TACTGGTATATAAAGGACCAAATAATAGGATGATAGTAGATACAGTTCGAAAGCCTGTTTGGAAGCAGTGATAAGCTCATCTGTGGCTAGTTTGTGGGAGCTCAACCCCAAAGTCCTCAGGAGGTAGGCTCTTGTTTGTCTGTGGCTCTGTTCCCAGCATATCTCAGCACAGGAGTGCACAGATTGCGTGTGAACAAAAGAGCAAGCTCGTGGGCCTTGAAAAAGAGATGCTGGTTTTGACAAGGGGCATCACAGAAAGTTGGGTACTTTCTTTTAAATAGAGGACTTCATCAGAGAAAACTATAAAGAATATCCCAGGCTTAGGATAGGGTTTTGAGCCTCTGAAATCAAGTAGAAGACAAAGTTGGAAATGGAGCTTGAGCCAAGCCCATAAAAGCCTTTGGAGTTTGGACTTTAGTATGTATATTAGCAGTAGATAGCCTCTAAAAATTTCAGAAGGGAGTGACATAATTGAGCCTCTTGTTTTCAGAAGATAATTCATATACATAGGATGGATTAGACCAGGAAGAAAATAGACGAAGAGAATACAGCTCAAATACTATTGCAATAGTTCAGACAAAATATAAAATCAGAATTGATAACAAAACAAAAAGCTGGACACTCTCTTACGTCCATTATCCATTTTACAGCAAAGCAACTGAAACTCAAAAGTTTCAGAAAGTAGGGGAGCCAGGTTTCCTGTCTTAGACTGAATATGTGACTCCAACTCTGGGATGGGAGGAGCAGATGAAGCTAAGAGGTGACTGGTGAAGAAGGTGTAGGATGCAGGGTGGGGAAGGAGAAACAGTGCTGCATTTGTTATTGTGCCTGTTGAGTTTGCAGTGTTGAGTAAGACTGGTCTGCTTGCTCCCTTTAACTCATTCAGCATCCAGAGGTTCATTTCCTTGCAGTTGTGGTTGTGTCTTAGCAGTGCCTTCAGAAGGGGAATGGATGAATATCAAGTTTTCCCCCAGTCCTGAGCTCAGTTCCTCCTAACAATTAATCACCAAAAGATGTAATCCTAGACTTCCCTCCAAGCAGAGGCACAGTCACTGGAAATGCCCTTAATGATGTTGAAACATTCACTCATTTGTTCTTTCATTGAGCAGAAAGTCCTGGATGACTACACTGGGCCAAGCGTGTGCTGGGAACTCGCAGTCTAGCAGCAAAGGTAGTAGACTCTGCAGCTCACAGTAAAACCACCTACTCAGTACAAGAGGCCTTTGCCTCACAGTCAGAGGAGGCACAGATGGGGGACATCTGGATTCCCTCTTTTGCTCACCTCAAGGCAAGGGATAATTTGACTATTAAAGAGAAATACCTCATTTTAATTCTTTACTATAAAAGTAACATATGCTTTTTTATAAAGGATAATCAAAACAATCAAGTGTATAAAATAGAAAGTGAAAGCATCCTTGCATGGTTAAAATTTGATACATGGAGTTTTAGATTTTTACTACATACATATATATTTATATATGATTTTTAAATGGTTCATGCTGTACATATTACTCTACAACCTTCATCTTCTCCCTGTTCAACAGTATTTCACATCACTGCATAGAGTACTGCCCCTAGAAGCTTTGCAGCATTTCATTGTGAGGTTGTGCTATAATTTATTTAATGAGCCCCCATTGGTAGACACTTGGATGATCTTTCAAAGGGAGAATGGATGTTCATAAGCAGGACAGAAAGGAACAAGAGACAACTGTGCCTGAGTTATTGGTATATGAATGGGCTGAGTTGGACAGCAGTTCAATATCGTTCAAGTATAACGCTACAAGGTGCAAATGGGAATGAGACTGACCCAGGAAAGCCTGCAGACTCTGGGGAGTCTGGTTGTTTTTTCTGAAGGTGACCATGGTGAAGGATAGGGGCAATAACGAGTTCGATGAAGGGTTGAAATTAACAGATTTGGATTTTTCCAAGATTACTAGGACTGCTATAGGTAGGTGACATTTGGAAAAACTGAAAACAGAGAGCTTGCTGGAGAACTACTACACTACCAGTCTGTGCCAGAGAAGATGGATGGAGCTGTGCCTTGCTGGGCCAAGGTCATGGGCACAGAGAGGCACAGGCAAAAGGGTAGAATCGGGCATCTGGCCCAGGAGCCTGGCTTGGTGGCACAGCAGTACCCAAGATGGCACACAGTAGAGAAGAAGGGAGCTCTAGAGAGGAGCTGAGAAACTCGATTTTCCACTGTTTCTTTTGTTTTGTCTTCTTCCTTTGACCTCTGATTAAGGATGAAGGGATCCTCACTGACACTTCCAACACCCCCCAATTGCCCCTGACAAACCCCAATTGTAGTGATTTGACCGGCACCCCAGGAATACTCAGGGCAAGTTCAGCTTTAGATGTATGACGGTGGGTTATTTAAGCCTTACATTTTCTTCCCTCGCTTTTATTTAAAGGACAAAATGCTATCACCAGCTATTAGATGCACATAGACTTGCAGTTTCAAAGTTTGAAAGGCTGACAGGTCAAGACAAAAGCTTCTCCATGTTGAGAGATGAGGGAGGACTTCAGAAGTCTTGGCCTAGGTGGTCACAGGGGCATCAGGAGCCTAGGACCACTTGGCTAGTTTGAGACCAGGGAGGGCAGACAGGAAGGAATGCTCTCATATTTGCTCAGTTACAATAGCAACTCCTTCTTTGTGTAAAATGGTAATGAGGCCATTAGGAGAGGCTCACCTGAAGTGCAGCTTGTGAATTCAAGGTAATTAAACACCTCCTGAATGAAAGAGAAAGGCCAGGGAAGGTTAAGTGAGGAATAATCTGCGGCACAGGTGGCCCAAGGCTTTTGAGGAGCCAGAAGAGGAGAGACAGTGGCCTGCACCATTTCAAAGGATGGAAATGTCACCCTTGTCCCTGAGAGGAGCAGGATTTTCATTATTGGGGGGTGAGGAATGACTAATATTTTTAACACTTTAGTATGTTTCTTAAGGTCCACAGCAGAGTCTGCCCCTGAGGGGCTCTCACCACAGTGGCACTAGGCTCAGGGGTCACAGGAAAAGGAGGCCACAGCAAACCAGCTACATATACCCAGGTGTTGAAATAGACTACAAGCTGCTCTCAAGAACAGTTTTCCCTGGCTCACCTTCATGCAGAGATGTGGTAGCCACCCCCTTAGTGCATCCTTCCATTGCTCCTGACCTCCACTCAGTGGGCAGTTTGGGCACATGGCACACCCAGCTGGCAACACCAGTGGCAACCACTTTCTAAAGTGTACATAACCTACCCCAGAACAGTGATTCTTAATATTTATAAGTTCACAGACACCTTTAGTACTCTGAGGAAAGCTATGAACCCCATACCCAGAAAACTGACCATCACTCATTCATACTGTACATTTGTAGGTGATTCATGAATCACCTAAAACTAATTTTTGGTAATGTCTTTAAATTTTATCCTGTTTTATTGTATGTTCCTATAGCTAAGCCCCTTACAGAATTGATTTCTCAAAAATGTTCTTATTGTGTCATGTGCATGCTTAAAAACAATCATTAGCTTTCTGTTTCTCTCAAGATAAATGTCCCTTATGATCCCACCTTTCTCTTCAGCCTCGTCTTAAATCACGTTCCCTCTCATTCTCTGTACTGAAGCCACATTCTTTCTATTCCCTGAGCTCCTCATGACTTTCCACATTACTTCCCATACTTATACTGTTCCTGTCCTTCTTTGCTTAGTTATCTACTTTAACTTGTTCTTCAAGTCTCAGTTCAACCCTTTTTTCCTCCAGAAAGTCTTCCTTACTCTCCTTGGTAAAATCTGTTGCAGACTTGTCCCAGAAGCAAAGTCACATGTGTGGGTATTTTTCTGACTATACTGTCAGTGAAATGAGGGCAAAGCCTGTGTCTAATTTCTTTCCCTGTTGTATTGTCAACACCTAACATAGCCTCAGATGTGTAGCACATAATAAATATTTGTTGAGTGATTAAACGGCTCAAAGTCACCACTTTGCACAATTTCAGGGAAACCTTACATGTAGAACTCAGTGTGAATGCTGTGCCCTGAAAGTTATGCAGTATGGCATCCTGAGATGAGTGAAGGGTGTATTAGAAATAGTCTGGTAAGCTTAACTTTGTCCTTGATATTGAAGGGAACAGCCGGAGTAGCAGACAGTCTTTCCTACCTAGACTCATGAGGAAACTCTCTTTTAGGTCTCACTTTCAGGAAAATCTTTAATCATTTGAAGATCTGATGCAGGGAATCTCACAACTTTCATGTTTTCCTCTTTGCTTTGGCCACTAGGAGGCTCTTAAGCCAATTTGAAGCCATTTTCTAGCTACTGTGTAAGAGTTTATGGCTTACGTTTAGATACCAAATCTAGTCTCAGCTTTTTCTTTTCCCATTGCCATCACTTTCTTGCCTGTTTTGTTTTTAATCTGTTGAGTTTTTGTAAATTGTCACTATTCCTTTAGAGTATGATGTGTGAAGTGTATAAATGAACATTTTATTTCTAACATTTGTAAGTAACTTAGAGAGAGAATGGAATTGGAACTAAAAGTCTTTGTGTAGTTTGGACTCAGATTATAAGACTTTGATTCACATTCCAATTTGGCTACTTCTTGGGTTTGTTCCTAGGCACAGAGCCTGACTTTTCAGAGATTGTTTCACTTTGCAGGACAGGACAAATACTCTTCCTTACAGGATTGTTGGAAGAAAAATTAGAAAATTTATGTGAGGATACTTACCTGGCATGTGGTAACTGCTTAAGAAGAGTTTTGTTTTTGTTTCTATTAGACATGTCTAATTGGAGCAACATTATTTAAATTTCAGAAACCTGCCTTTCGGGCTGGGAGTGTAGCCTGGTGGTAGAGCACTTGCCTAGCATCCTAGCACTCCTAATACCAAAGGCATTTTTTTTCTCCTACAGCAGTGGTATCAAATTGACACCTGCCCCGCTGAAAAGGGGTTTTCTAAGGGTCTGTAGGTACGGGTCGTAGTCATCCATCATCCTGTAATCAGCCCTCAACCTGTGTCTCCTTTATTTCTCACCAGATCTCTTCACTGAAGAACAGGCTGAAAAAAGTCTCCACAACCACAGGCGATGGCGTGGCCAGAGCCTTCCTCAAGGCCCAAGCTGCTTTCTTTGGTAGTTACCGAAATGCTCTAAAAATTGAACCGGTGAGTAACATCTGTGCACATGACATGATTCATGTTTGGTCAGGCTTGGAATCCTACTTCAGAGCTCATGAGAAATTGTGGTTCTTCTGGTTTTTGAACTATCCTAAAGGGGGTTGTGTGTGAATTTGGTGAGGGTCCATGTGAGGGATTCCTGTCCTCACCACGCCTCTTGGCACAAGGAAGTCATGCTCTCTCTCGGGCATGAGACACTCACTACTCCAGCAGTAAGCATGGGAAGACACCCCACCCAACAGTAAGCACAAACTACATGTTAGAGACAGCACCAGGCCCGTCATGCTTGCTGTCACTGAGGACTCAGAGTGGGAGGAAATTGAGACTCAGAAGAGAAACCACTTACCAGTGGTCCCAAAGCCCATGCTTTTGCCCTGTTCCTCACTGTCCCTTGTCCTCTAAAGGGACCACTCTTCCATGCTTGAGACAGCAAAGCATCCTGGGGATTTACTTCTTGGTGGCTCCTGCATGTAGTCATGGTTTATTTTTTATTTTTTTATTTTTTGGTACTGGGGATCGAACTCGGGACCTTGCGCTTGTGAGGCAGGCGCTGGAACCACTGAGCTAAGTCCCCAGCCCTAATCATGGTTTAAATGACCACAAAGCATAATGGGGACCACAAAGCATGATGGTGCTACCCATATGTGTGTGTGGCCCTTCCACCTTTCCAAGCTCAGTTGACTCACACATGTCCCTTGCCTGCCATGTGAAGTGATGAGTTATTGGAGGATGTGAAGGCATCAAGGCTTCCCTGACACTGAAGACACTTCTGTTTTTCCAACTTCCATGAGAAGCTGTCTTCCAATAGACCTCCTCTCGGCTTCCTTTGGTCTCCTGGCCAAGGAGAAGGCACACGCATCCCAGGTGGAGTAGGGTACAAGGGGACCAGCTTAGGTCACACCGCCTACATGCCAGGGTTGTTCGTTTCTGGTTTTATTTTAACTCACAGCATTTAACTAGATTAAATGCCAAAAGCTGAGTGGATGTCAGTTAGTGCATTTCATATAAGACTTTTGAGAATGAACCAGATCACACTTCCTCATAAGCCAGTTATGCACTGCTATCTTTTTACTGCCTTAATTCCATCATGTGTCTAAGTGAAACACAGACAGTTAGCCAGCACCTTGTCTTCCTTACACTCAGGAGTGGCCAAGGTGGCGGTGCTCAGGGAGCAGCATCCTAACACACCCTCCTTTCCTCATTTTCCTTCTGGCTCAGAGGCCTTACTTCCCTGGCTGTCTCTGCTTTGGGCAGTGTTATGGTCACACAACAGAAGGGTTGCACATTCTTTCTGTGCCCTGAAAAATACTTGCCTTATCAAACTCTAAAGCCCTTCAGCCTAAGCAAGTTTCCATGTCCTGCTTGTCTCAAAGTGAAGTAGCTCCAATTGTTTGTCATGATCTTGGACCTAGCTAAGCCCATCAGACTTGGTGCTGTTTGCTGGGAACTGACAGACTGGAAGTATTTTCATTCTGACAGTTTTCTCATTGTTGTCATGTATGTATCTAGAATCCAGAGGCAGCTGATTCTTGGCACATATTGCTGGATGTGATTTGGGTACATGTTGCTCCACAAGAAGAGTCTATGGCTGTACTTGCATACAGCTTGCTGAGCTCTGGATTTAAGGACAGAAGCCCAAGAGTTTAAAGCCTAGCTCTGCTTTTCTTAGCTGTATCAAACTTGAGCGAGCCACTTACTCTGTTTAAGTTTAGTTTCTTCACCTGCAAAATGAGGATGATATCCTTTCTCTATCTCCTTGTTGTTGTAAGAATTAAATGAACCTAAAATGTTTCATAAGAAAGGTGAAACCTGAATGGGGTCTGGTGAATAAGGTTTGGAAAGGAAAGATAGCAGCTCCCCTCCTGTCCTGGATATAGAGCTAACTGAACCAGCAGAGGCTTGGGGGCAGCGCCTCGGGGCCTCTGGGTTAGCTGTTTTGTCTGGAGTGATGTATGGTTGGAGAATGGAGCTGCGGGAGAGGTTGGAGCCAAATTTGCCAGACCCTTAGATGCTAAGCTGGCTAAATGTATGAACTTTATCTTATAAGGAATGTAAGTTTTTGAGCAGAGATCTGATGTGGTCAATGTGAGAGGTTTAAGCAGTAAGCCAGTGATAGACTGAAAGAAAAGCTAGAGGCCGAGAGGCCATTTAGAGGAACAATATGGGAACTCAGAAGAGAGCCCTCAGGGGGTTACACCAGGAAGTGGTACTAAGGAGGAAATGAGTAGACCCAACAATAGATAACATGGTAGAGGAAGGGCAAAAAATGTCAAAATGTTCCCCAAGATTTGGAGCCTGCGAGAGGATGATGATGCTCCTGATAGCAAAAGAGAAAGGTTAATGCCATGATAGTCACTGTAGCAATATTTGTAATGTTGAAAAAATTGGAACAGGTTAAGTGTTTATGATAGGTAACTGGTGAGATAACTTAAAGTACATTCATGCAGTAGAGTAATATATCGCCTTTAAAAGCATCATTTTGAAGATAAAGTCATGGATTTGGTTGTAGACATGCACTTTTCCTTGAATCTAAGCTGCCATTCAATCGCAAGACAGACCATTGTCGTTAGATAACATTAAGAAAGGGAAGAGAGTGCTGCCGATTATAATTGAAAGTAACATCAATTACAAGACACATCCAGATTTCAGAGATGTTACAGTGGGAAGAAATTTTCATCATAGAATCAATGAAATATTGCAGATCTATCATGTATTCAGTCCCATCCATCTGCACCAGAATTGCTTTCTTCTGTGAGCCCAAGAGAGAAACCAAAAGGCCTGAAATTTTTTCCAACCAAGCATTGAGCCCTTGGTCATCACTATGTTACCTAAATGGTTTTAAAGCCATAAATTTAATTCTGGCAAATTCTCTACTGAAAAATGGTATAACATCGTTCCTTGTACAGAACTACGTTGGAGATTTCAGTGAGCCTGAGAAGGGAAGAGGGGGCCCTGCCTGTATAGCCCGGGCCCAGGAGAAGGGCGCCCTCTGCAGGCAGCATAGCGTTGAAGGGGCAGGGAAACCTCCCCAAGGTTACTTGTCTTTCAGTTGTTTCTCTGGTTATTAAAATAGCACCTGTTCTTAGTAAAAGTGTTTAAAGTAACTGAGGAACAGAAATAAGAAACACCCCAATCCCATCTCCTGTTAAGATCCTGTATTCATGCTTCCAACCCCCGGCCCCACACACCCAAACTCCAGGATCTTTAGTTTGCTTTTGGTTCATTTTCATTGGGAACTTCATTTTTTTATTTTCTTTTCAGCAGTTGAGATATTCCTGACAAAGTAATCTAGTAGGTCTAGTATCCCAGTTATTAGTTTGTTTTTACCTTTTAATATGTGTAAGCATTTTTCTTTTTTTTTTCTTTTTTTTTTTTTTTTGGTACTGGGAATCGAACTTGGGTCCTCTCACTTGCGAGGCAGGCGGCAGAACCACTGAGCTAAATCCCTGGACAAGCATTTTTCATATTATATAAAATCTCTTCTTGGGCTGGGGATTTAGCTCAGTAGTTTTGCCGCCTGCTGCGCAAGCGCAAGGACCCAAGTTCGATCCCCATTACCAAAAAAAAAATCTCTTCTTAAACCTCATTGATAAGGGCTATACATGTTCCAGCAGGTGACCCCTATGACTCTCAGCCCAACTATGCATCACAGTCATGGAAAGGGTGGGGGACAGGGACAGGCTTTTCAAAGGGTTTATGTCTGAGCCTTGCTCAGAGATTTTTAACAGTTCTTATGACCTGAAATTGGTGTCGAGACCCACCACATCATCCTAGTGCCAGTCTTTTTGTCTGTTATAATATTTCACAATTTTAAACTACACAGTGGTGAACATCTTTATATAAATCTTAATGTGTGATCTCAATGATTTTTTAGGCAGATTTCCTACTGTAGATTTACTAGGTCAAAGGATCTGGGTACATGTACTGCCTGTGGCACTGAAAGTGATGGAGAAGCAGCTGGTGGTGTGCAGGGCAGAGCCACGGAGGCAGGTGCAGCCCTGGGCTGAGAACAGCATGAGGCTGAGGGAAAAGACAGCCTCTCGGGCTTTTCTGTCCTCACTGCTTTGTGGTGTGTCCAGGGTGTCTGTCACACAGGTGTGGTGTGGTGGCTTCCCACCGTGGGCCAGCAGTACAGCCATGGCACTAAGGGGATTGCAGAGTCACAAGGTAGTGCTGTGTTTTAAACCATGGAACCTGACAGACTTGAGATGCTCTTTTCTGCTCTGCTGCCAGATGTGACTTTGAGCAGGTCCCTCTGCTTCTCTGGGCCTTAGTTTCCTTTCATATGTGGAAGTATAATCCCCTGCCTGAAGGATTGTAGTGAAGCTTAAACAAGCCCAGCACAGTGCCTGCCCACTAGCTCTGTGGTTAGCCTGTCCCTGTCCCTCCCCCGCCGCTTGTCTCTGCTGAGGAGGACCCTGCCCGCTGGGAGCAGCTCGGGGGACAGCTCCCTCTGGGCAGCTCTGTTCCACCTATCTGTAAGGAGGGGTTGAGCCTTGCTGGGCAGAGATGAGCAACTCCTCTGCATCAGGATAGGAAGGCCTTTCCCTTGGCTCAGAGCTCGCTTGAGATTTTTAACTCTGTAACCATTTTTTTTCCTTTCCTACTGGGAAAATTTTACAACACATCTGGCTGGGTAGACCCTTGCGCACTGTGCTCTTACCCTTCCTAGAAGAGGGAAGTTTGCTTGCACAGCCTAGTTCATGCCAAGAGTGGCCTGGCCCAGCTCAGGGGGTGATGTGTCTTCGGGGCCAGGTAAGTTGTTTTAAAGGGGTCTTCCAGGGGTCAGAAACTAAGATGAGATGACAGGTGTGTCTACCACAGCCAAGTCGACCACCTCCTGAGTGGCCTCCCACAAGATTGGGCTTGGTTCATCTCGGAGTTGCTTTAGGTCTTTGATCTCAGTAATTCCCCATGACTGCCTCTTACTGTGCATCTTACAGATGGAGGATGGAGGCTCAGATTGGCAGTGACTTCCTGGTATGGGG